AATGCAGGAGACTGGGGTTCAATCCCTGGGTCAGGAAGATCCCCTAGAGAAGAGAATGGCTACCCACTCCAGAATTCTTGCCTGGAGAATTCCATGGACAGAGAAGCCTGGCAGACTACATCCATGGGGTTGCAAAGAGTTGTACACAACTCAGCAACTAACACTTTCCCTTCTCTGGATATAGAGGGCCTTGTCCCTCTATATGCTGGCCTTGTCCACATGTTCTTGAGGTATTCAAAGTCAAGGCAGTGTCTGAAGTGTTGAGGCTCATCAGAATATGCATCTTGGTTGAGGTGAGCACTGAGATGTGCTGCAGGGTCTAGGGCTCAAGGACTCTGCAAACTCAAAGGGAAAGAGATAAATGGCAGGCAAGTTAACTTGTGTGGAGTGAAGGCTATGAAAGCTTCTTTGAAATGGCGATGTTGGGGACAGTTGATAAGCTCTGGGTTCCAGGCTGATGACTTTAGACTGATAAAATAGACCCAGAGAGATGCCAGGGGTGACAGAGCTGGGGAATGACCTCATGAGAATGGAATCAGAGAAAGATTATGTTAACAGCTGAGGATTATGTGAAGTGGAGAAGAGAGTAGGGGCTGGGAATGCAGCAAAGAGTCTCCTAGGCAGTATAGGCAACTCTCAGCTTCTATTATGGTAGGGTCCTAGATGGTTGATGGAAATGGTTCTGAGTTACTCATTTATGGTGAGAAATATTCTTATCTAATTCCTTCTCCTTAGGGCATTAAGATTCTAACCAGAGGCAGCTTGATGAGTAAAGACTTTGAACCAAAAGAGTGAATTGGATGATCTTACTATTATCTCCTTTTCCTCAGAAGGGGCACATATGTCTGACTGCTACGTGGTGCAGTGGTGAAGGATCCGCCTGCCAATGCAGGAGACACAAGAGATGCGGTTCGATCCCTTGGTTGGGAGGATCCCCTGAAGTATGAAATGGCAACCCACTCCAGTATTCTTGCCTGAAGAATTTCATGGACAGAGGAGCCTGGTAGGCTACAGTCCATGGGGTCTCAAAGAGTCAGATACGACTAAGCACGCGTGCTAGACAAAAAATATGTGTATCATTTGGAGAGGACACCAACTGAATCATAGATTGTTTCTCCCTTTTCTAGGTTCTAGGAGGCTTTCATTTTTCTCTAAATAAATTGCACAGCAATGGTTTAAACACAGACTTGATCGATTCCAGTCTTGAGTATACACCATAGTTGTCTTAAGTAGACGTTGTTATTATTGTTTGTCTGTTTTTGTGTCACAAATATGTGATTTGGGAGATGGGTGATTAGCTAGGTTTAAAACATACTGAGTTTGAAGTGCCTCAGGTGAGAAATGTCCAAAAGTCAATTGAAAATGTGAAGCTTGATCAATTTAGGAAGGAACCTGGGACTTGAGATCTTTTTCAGGTAGGATTCTAAGTGCTTTCTTTTTGGGGGTTATGTTACACCTCATAAAACTTAGTGAGGCTATTTATCATTATATTAAAACTGTATTGATTTATACATCTGCATCCTCTATACCAAAAGGAAAAGGGGCGTGGCAGAGGATAAGGTGGTCAGATAGCATCACTGACTCAATGACATAAATTTGAGCAAGCTCCAGGAGACAGTGGAGGACAGAGGAGTTTGGCATGAGGCAGTCCATGAGGTTGCGAAGAGTTGGACATGAGTGAGTAACAACAGTCCTCCATACCAGACAGTGAGCTCCCTGGGGTCAGGGATGGCCTCTTACTCATCTTAGTCAAAGTGCCTGTCTACTGTGGGTGCTCATTAAGTGTTGAATGAGTGAATGAGAGTAGTCTGGATAAAGGAGATGAAGGAAAAGAGGATCAGTGACAACTTTAGTGTTTTAAGTACAGAGGAGGAGGCCTTGAGGTCTCTAAGACCACAGATCTAGTCACAGAACAGTTGTCGATGGAGTGCTAGGGAGGAAGTCAGAATTCAAGAAGTACAAGAAGAAGCTGGTATAAAGGGAAACCGAGAAAAAAGAATCATCTTTAGAACTGAAAGCACATGCTGAGAATAAATGCCTGCTAGGAGTCTGAGTCGCTTCCTCCTTACTTAGAGCCATCCATACTCTGGGTGCAGGCCAGCTCTTCCTCTGATGCCTTCTTGCTTCCATGCTCCCTGGAGGGGGTGCAGCAGGCCTCCCCTAGAGGGAACCCGCATCAGCAATTTCAGCTCCTACCGTTGCTGTAGAGTAGCGTCCTAGCTTCTTGTCCCACGTCTGCCATGACTTACAGTGTGACCTTGGGCAAGTCATCCCCTTTCCTCTGGGCCTCTAAAGTACCTGGCAGCTGTCAGGATGTCTGGGAGAACACAGTTCGGATGACTGGTGAGAATTCCAACTTGCCCTTTGCGGCATTTCTTCTATAAGTCGCCTTGCCAAAGACCAGCTGTCCTGGGCTCTGCTTTTGGTCCTCAGGCTGACTCTCACCCACCTGTTACTGGGCCCCTCCCGGCGTCCTTCTCCCGCAGTGCAGTTCACAGATGCGCCACTAGTCGGCACTGCCTTGACCTCAGCACAGAAATTAGCTTCAACCATTGAGGCCGACTACTGAGTGGTGAGGTCAAACTTATGTGGCATTTTCCATCTGAACTAAAATAGCCAAGGAAATGAAGTTTGAGGAAACGATTTAAGTGCTCTGAGAGCCGGTGCTACCGTACTCCTTGAAATTTTGATTTTAGACGCCTTTCTACTTGTTTTCTTCTCTTACCTCAGGTGCCCTGGGTCTTAAGAGTCGCTGAGACTTCAGGTGACTCATTGCTTTTTTTTCTCTTTCCTTGGTGGCCAGGAATCTTATATACAGAGGACTGGGTTAATCACTCTCCTTGACTTATAGCCTTCTTTCATCAGTGGTTCATATAAAGCCTCTCTTGTTTAATTGATTATTCCCTCTTATCTCATTACCCCTTCCATCTAAACTACACTCAGCATTATAGCGTTAGGCAACCATCAGATATTTTTAATGTGTATTTCTTTTGTTTATGTGTGTTCTTGAATAATAGGTAATGATTCTAGTATGTATGTATTTTAAACTTTTTCATGTATTTTATTCCATCCCGTGTACCCAAAATTTTATCTCAAGATGTAATCAATATAAAAATTACTGAGATACATTACATTCTTTTTTGTCTTCAAAATCCACTGTGTGTTTTACTCTTACAGTGTACCTCAATTTGGATGCTAAATTTTCATCAGAAATACTTGAACTGTTTTTAGACCATAAAATTAATATTGAAAAGTAGATTCACGTACATGAGTTGTTCCAAGCATGCTTTAAAATTTTCCAGTAACTGAATTAAATACCAAAAAAAAAACCCACTTTCTTTTAATATCTGCATCCAAATTGACAAAATTGGTTCATTTTGTAGTTGGTTTAACTTTAAAGCAAAAGCATGTATCAGTTTCAAAACTATGTCCAAGATAAGTAAATTTACCAACTCTCCTGTCAATCAGTATTATTCACATGAAATTTAAAGAGATATTGCATAAATTGAAAAGCAACTCTAAGATGTATTAATACCAACATTTAAACTTTCTTGTTGTTTTTGTAGCCAATTTACATAATACTATTGATTACAATGAAAATCTCCTGCATATATATGTTAGAAAACTTTGCACTAATTTGCACTATGAGAAATTTCAATTTTAGCATAAATTCTCATATCTGTCTAGCTAATTTGCAAATAAGCATTTTCTTTCCTTGAAGCTTCAATTTTAGCTCCTTCGTAACCAATATGATATCAGTAAGATTGTACGCACATTTTTTTCCCCAATTTTAATTGTTTTCTCTACTTCTTTTTTCTTACTGAAGTATAATTGCTTTACAATGTTGTGTTAGTTTTTGCTGTCCAACAAAGTGAATCAGATGTATGTATACACCCATCCACCTCCTCTTTGAGCCTCGTTCCCACCCCAACCCACCCTACCCCGTCCCAACCATCGGGATCATCGAAGAGCACTGAGCTGAGATCCCAGTGCTACACAAAAACTTCCCACTGCTGCTGCTGCTAAGTCGCTTCAGTCGTGTCCGACTCTGTGTGACCCCATAGACGGCAGCCCACAAGGCTCCCCCGTCCCTGGGATTCTCAAGGCAAGAACACTGGAGTGGGTTGCCATTTCCTTCTCCAATGTGTGAAAGTGAAAAGTGAAAGTGAAGTCGCTCAGTCGTGCAGGACCCTTAGCGACCCCATGGACTGCAGCCCACCAGGCTCCTCCTTCCGTGGGATTTTATCATGAGGTTATCTATCAGAGGTCTCCTTACACACTCAGCACAATGAGCCTTTCTCGGGAAGTCTCCCTCTTTATTTATTATTTCTTACTGGAGTATAATTGCTTTACAATGTTGTGTTAGTTTTTGCTGTCCAACAAAGTGAATCAGATGTATGTATACACCCATCCACCTCCTCTTTGAGTCTCGTTCCCACCCCAACCCACCCTACCCCATCCCAACCATCGGGATCATCGCAGAGCACTGAGCTGAGCTCCCAGTGCTACACAGAAACTTCCCACTGCTGCTGCTGCTAAGTCGCTTCAGTCGTGTCCGACTCTGTACGACCCCATAGACGGCAGCCCACAAGTCTCCCTCGTCCCTGGGATTCTCAAGGCAAGAACACTGGAGTGGGTTGCCATTTCCTTCTCCAATGTGTGAAAGTGAAAAGTGAAAGTGAAGTTGCTCAGTCGTGCAGGACCCTTAGCGACCCCATGGACTGCAGCCCACCAGGCTCCTCCTTCCGTGGGATTTTCCAGGCAAGAGTGCTGGAGTGGGGTGCCATTGCCTTCTCCAAACTTCCCACTAGCTATCTATTTTACACATGGTAGTGCATATGTATATATATATGCGTATATTTTTTAATTTATAGAAGTGTTATCATGGCTTAGATCTCATTCAGTTTCTCACTTATCACTGTGATCCTTTTGTGTATGCATCTAATCCTTTGCTTCTAACTGCTACATACTCTTCCATGGTACCTGTGCCTCTTACCCAGGGATTCCCAGTGATGGAGACCCAGATTGCTTCCAAGTCCTGCCACCACAAATCATGATAAGGTGAATATCCTGTTCATGTCCCTTATGATCTTATGTGAGGTTTTTTTTTTGGATGTATACTTAGCTTGATCGCTCTTCTAACCACGAAGCACTACTGCTTCTGTCCCTCATATTTCTTAGCTTTCCTGTTTCTTTGCTTTTCTTCTCCTGGGATATATTCTCTCTTTTGTCTTTCAATTCCCTAATACATTTCCCAGCTGTGTCCATTCCACTAATTTTCAAGTCTACTGTGTGCTCAATTTTAGTTATTCATTTTTTATGCCTAACATTGCTTATTTTATTAAAGTTGTTTTCCTTATTTCAACTATTATACTTTTCTATATGTGATATTTCTGTTTGATTCTTCTTTATGTTTTCTCATTCTGGTGTCATATTGGTAATATTTGCCTTGATCTCTTTTGAAAGTGAAAGTGTTAGTCGATTAGTCATGTGCAACTCTTTGCGATCCCATGGACTGTAGCCTGCCAGGCTCCTCTGACCACAGAACTCTCCAGGCAATACTGGAGAGGGAAATCATTCCCTGCTCCAGGGTCTCTTCCTGAACGAGGGATAGAACCCAAGTCTCCTGCATTGCAGGCAGATCTTTTACTGTTTGAACCACCTTTAACATGTTTATTAACCTACTTTTAAAATCTTGGTCTGTCCTGGTCATCTTTCTACTTAAGGGACAACCTGTAATCAAGTGGGTTGTATCCATCTGAATTAGTTGTTCTCTTTACCTGTCTTGTTATTTTGCCCATGGGTACATAGGTTGGTATGTTCAACAATGTGTACCAGTGCCATTTAGCTCAGGGGGTGAGGGTCAGGGGTGGATGAGTCCTAAGACTGAGAACCCCAGGCATCAAAACTCCCAAGTCAATCAGACCCAACCCCACAAAATAACTCCTCATGTCAGACATCACCCTTTGCCCCCCACCTCCCATAGGAGAAGCAACCTTAGGGGGAAGTGCTTCTTAGATTGCAATTCATTTGCTTGGGAAATTGAGGGGATGAGGAGAGGAAACAACTGTCCAAAGTTCAGTTCCCCCCCTTGTTTTTGACTGGCTTCTCATAAGCACAGTGCATCTTCAATGCCCCATTGTTACCCTTACCAGCACCTGGATCAGTGTTTTTTTTTTGTTGTTTGTTTGTTTTACAGAATTTTATTGGGGAATCATTGACATACAATAATAGGCACATACATTAACTTGTACAGTTTGATAAATTTTGACATTTGTGTACACTCCCTAAACTCACAGCCCAATCAAAATAGTGCATTTATCTATTCATCCACCCTGAAAGTTGTCCACAAAGTGATAGGTAGAAGGATAGATTTTAATGCTCCAGGCTACAAAAAGTNCTCCCTCCCCATCCCATCCCTCTGGGTCATCCCAGTGCACCAGCCCTGAGCACTTGTCTCATGCATCCAACCTGGACTGGCGATCTGTTTCACACTTGATAATATACATGTTTCGATGTTGTTCTCTCAGATCATCCCACCCTCATGGAAGGCGAATTCTTAACCACTAGACCACCAGAGAAGTCCTGAAAACATACTATTTTAACTGTATTTAGCCACGCAGTTCAGTGGCACTCAGTACATTCACATTGTTGTGTAAACCAGCAGTTTGAGTCCTGAAGGCGATGTTACATCACTGTCCTAAGAAATTGCAGAGAAGAGCGAAGAAAACCTCAGACACACTCTTTTTTTTTTCTCTCATTCCACAGCCATGCCTGGCCACCTCCTGCCATAAAACAAAGCCACCCCTCACTAGCACCAGTTCAGAGTGGGGTCTCCCTCACCCAAGGAGTATCTCACAATTTTCTTCATTTCGTGGTATTTTCTGTTTATAATTCTTCCACAGTTGACCTTGGTGGGGCGGGGCACCAGTCACACTGGTTCAATCAAGTTTAAGGATGTTGAGCACTTGCTCTGTGCTAGGCACTGCTCTAAGCGTTATCACCTGTATTAACTCATTTAATCCTCACAGTCACAGGTTATATTAGCAGCCCCATTTTACAGATGGGAAAACTGAGATATAAATAAGTTAACTAACGGGACTTCCCTGGTGGTCCAGTGGCTAAGACTCCATGCTCCCAATACAGGGGCTTGGGTTTGATCCCTGATCAGGGGACTAGATCCCACATGCACAACTAAGAGTTCTCATGCCATAACTAAAGATCCTGCATGTTGCAACTTAAGAAAAAAATCCCACAGGCTTCAAGAAAGATAGAAGTTCCTGTGTGTCACAATTAACATCTGATACAGCCAAATAAATAAATAAAATAAGTTAACTAGTTGTCTAATTGGCAAATTAATCAGGACTCTAACCCAGGACTCTAACTTCTGAGTGGGTCCTTGCGGCAGAGCCTGGCTTGTCCAGTGCCCTCTATGGGGACAGATAAAAGCAGTGTTGGCCAGGGCTTGCCCCATGATGTCCAGCTGATGAGACACTGGCCAGAAGAGAGGAGGGGGGCGGTGACAAGAACAAGGCATTAACAGCCAGGCCTGTTGTCAGCAGCGTTTGATCCCAGGCAGGAGGCTCTAACTGATCTCTCTCAGGGCAGGACACGGCGCTGGGTGGTCAGAGGCGAAGGGAGGAGGATGTGTGAGTGTGTGTCAGCCCAGCCCAGTCAGTCCGGTGGTCTCCGTCCTCCCCTGTGCGTTTGTTTAGATTTGACACGTGGTGTAAGCTGATTGGTGTGAACTGTTCTGCGTTTTCCATCTCCTCCTCCTGTTGGCAGCATGTGAGTGGCTGCACCCACTCTGGCTTAGGGACCATGCCTCCCTGGAGGCCACAGTCAGGCTGCTGGTTCTTGCCACCTCTTCTTTCCTTTGCTTTGATTGGTCAACACATATTGAAGGATAAAACCCTGCCATAGGCCCCCTGAAGGGTACTGTCAGGAGTGTGTGTGCGCTCAATGGTGTCTGACTCTGGAATCCCATGGACTGTAGCCCGCCAGGCTCTTCTGTTCATGGGGTTCTCCAGACAAGAATACTGGAGTGGGTTGCTATGCCCTCCAGGGGATCTTCCCAACCCAGGGATCGAACCCCCATCTCTTCCGTTTCCTGGAAGGTGGATTCTTTACCACGGCGTCACCGGGGAAGCCTTAAGGGTATTCTAGGTGGATGAGATTGGAAGCAAATGGCAGTGACTGTGAGGCAGAATGAGGACCATAAGAAAGTGGAACCTCTGATCCAGTTCCTGGGGTCTCATGAGCTGTGGGCATCACTGAGTTTGAGTAATAACAAGGCTAGTGTCAGATATCTTGACTCTTGATGCATGTTTCTTCCTGGGAAACCATAGCTCCCCTCTAGTCATTTCTGAAGTGCTGGCCACTTTGTTTTTAGCTGGGGTTGCTTTAAGAGAGTCAGAAATTGATTTGAGGAGCGTCTCCTTCCCCACTGAGGTTTCAGGCAGGCAGGTTCCTCATCTGAATGTCGCTGACAGGCAGGCTGCCTGGCCCCAGGGAGCTGCTACATGCTTTCTGAGCCACAAATATTTCACTCTGTGGGTACCCAGCAGCTGCCCTTCCCCTCTCCCGTTCCCTTCCACCTCTTTCTCGTTCCTAAACCCACACCTTACAGTCACGTTAGCCTCTGCCACCTTAGTCATCCCTCCCTCCTGGGGGCCCCTCTCCTGCCTGTCTTTTTGGGAAAGCTGAGAAACCAGAGCCCACCCCTAGCTTCCTCTGCCTCAGAACGCAAAGGGAAATTGACAAGTCTTGTTGTTTCCTGTATGCCAGAGATGGCTTGTGGTGCCTAACTAACATTTCATACAAAAGTTGGAGAAGAAAATGTTTACTGTTGAGGATCCTGAGGGTGCTGGGCCCAAGATTTAGAAATGGCAAAATCAGGATTCAGACCTGTGCTTGCCTGCCTCCAAAGCCCACGCCTTTTCTGTGTTTCCAGATCCCCCAGTCCAATTCAGCGTTCTCAGGTTTCTAACCTCAGAGCTTTGTTCCCAAGCAGACTGGACACTTTGCTTTACCTTAGAATTGAAAGCATTAAAAAAAAAAATTTAAAGAATAAATAAAAGAGGAGAAAGAAGAAAAAGAAAGGAAAAGACAGCCTTCTAGCTGCCTGTCTTTTGGCGATCATACTTCTTCCCAGAATGATTAGAATAACTTGTTCTTCTATTCAACTGGTTATTTTTTTTTCTTCCATTTATTTTTATTAGTTGTCAACTGGTTATTTTTAAACCTTTAAACCATAGAACTATATCCTAGGAAATGACTGTGGGCCCTCCAGCATATAAACATGCAGGAGTCATACTGATTGAAGTGGCAGGGGTATGTCCCTTACAGCCGGAAGCCAGTTAAGGAAGCCTTACATATCTGTTGACCCCTGAAAGCTCCTGATTATCTCTCATTTTAGAGATAAGGAACCTGGGGCCCAGATGGGGAAGTGGCTGGCAGTCAGAACTAGTAATGTCCGGCTCTTGTAGCTTCTGGCCTGCAGCTTTCTTTCTGTCTTTCTTTTTTAATAATTTTGATTTGTGTATTTGTTTTTGGTTGCACTGGGTCTTTGTCGCTGGGCAGGCTTTCTCTAGTTGCGACAAGCGGGGCGTACTCTTTGTTGTGGTGGGCTGGTTTCTCGCCGAGGTGGCTTCTCTTGTTGCGGGGCATGGGCTCTAGAGCTCGGGGGGCTTCAGTAGTTGCAGCGTGCGGGTCAGTAGCTGTGGCTCCCCGGCTCTAGAGCGCAGGCTCAGGAGTTGTGGCTGTGTTGCTCCAGGGCCTGTGGGGTCCTCTCGGACTGGGGATCGAACCTGTGTCTCCTGAATTGGCAGGCAGACTCCCGTCCTCCACTGCGCCATCAGGGAAGTCCCTGGCCTGTCGCTTTCTAGTGTGGCTGTCTCTGCACCTCGTCCAGGAAGGGAGTGTGAGTAGGGGCAGAGAGAGAAGGAGAGACTGGGCTTCCTCTTCCCTCCTTCCTCGTCACCAACAACCTGAGCTCCCAACACCCTTGGAGGAGGTAGTCAGGCAGAGGACATCTGAGGAATACTGCAGGGTGCTAGCAGGTCACCAGGAGTCAGAAGGAAGATAGAAGGCAGAAGGGGTAGGGGGAGGAGAAAAGAGCCAAAGAGCTGCCATGCCAGCCCAGGATGGGACTGGCCTAGGGTTTGGGCCCTGGCCTTGCTCTAGGATCCCTTGGATTTGTCCTGGTCCCCTTTCCTGCATCAGTATCTTTTAAAATGTGTATTTATCTATTTGGCTGTGTGGGGTCTCGGTCATAGCACAGGGCCTCTCTAGCTGTGGCATCAGGCTCAGCAGTTGTGGCCCAGGCCTAGATGCTCCGCAGCACATAGAATCTTAGTTCCCGAGCAGGGATAGAGCCCACATCCCCTGCCTTGCAAGGCAGATTCTTATCCACGGGACCACCGGGGGAGCCCCCTGCATGTTTTCCTTGGAGGCTTCTCTGCTCACTGATGGAGGGGGCGCGTACAGGGTACAAGAGGGGCAGGTAGTGTAGCAGCGCCCCGTGGACACAGGGAGCCGCGATTAGCTGGCCCCGCTCTGCCCATGAACAGCCGAAGGTCTCATGGTAGCTCTGAAGTCTCCTGGGCCTCAGGTTCCTCCTCAAACCAGGTGGGATGAGACGATCTCTAAGGGCCCTTTCGACTCTGATGATGTGATACCTGGAGCCTGTGCTGAGGGAGCCCAGAGAATGGGCAGATGTGGACTCCGGAGCACCAGGTGTTAGGTGCTCTAGAAATCTTGTTTTATAGGAAAGGAAACCGGACCTAGAAAGGCTCTGACTTTTCTGCTTCTCTCAGCTTTATTTCTCTTCATCCTCTGAACTATAGAGCTGTAAGATTCAAAGCAAAGCAATTCTGTGCAGTGGATAAGCTTTTTTTATCATTGTTTTTCTGAACTTTTTAACTTGCAATTTTTTTTTTTTTTTACAAAAACAGTACATGCTCATAAAAATTTCCATGAATACAGGAAGTGAAAAAACTAAAAAACTGAAAATTGCTGTCATCCTCCTGTCCTTACCCTTTGAGTCCCCAGGGGTGTCTCCTGTTGACAGTTTGGTGTGTATTCTTCCTGACCTTTCTGATGAACCACAAACATACGTGTCCCCCACTCTATGGGATTATAGTATCAATTATTCAAACATAAGTCTTCCCATGTGGCACAGTGGTAAAGAATCAGCCTGTCAATGCAGGAGACTCTGGTTGAATCCCTGGGTCGGGAAGATCCCGTGGAGTAGGAAATGGCAACCCAGTCCAATATTCTTGCCTGGGAAATTCCGTGGACAGAGGAGCCTGGTAGGCTACAGTCTACGGGTTGCAAAGAGTTGGACACAACTGAGCATTCATGCACTGCATTGAAGCATAAGCTTTAGAATCAAACAGACCTTTGTTCTAATCCTAGTTTATAGCTCATTAGCTGAATGGCCTTGCTATTTGACTAGTTTTAGTCTCATTCTCCTCATGTACAAAATGGGAGTAATAGTAATATCTACCTTATAGGATTGTAGGGAAGATTTAAGGAAATTTTGTATGAATGACAGTTAACTACAAGTGCTTGATACATAGTAAGCACTACACACACACACACACACACACACACACACACTCACTCACTCACACACACACACACACCCACAGGGCACAGAGTGAGTTACAGGTATAATAAAAATGAGACTCAAGTTTTCTGACCTCTAGTCTCATTGACTTTCAGCCAAACTGTCTGCTTCTCACCCTGTCCCTGCTGGGCACAAGTTACATGCTCCATTTTTGTTGAATGAATGAAGCTGTAGGGGGTGAACCTAGGAATCTGAGGTCTGCGGGACTTCCTGGGGAGCCAGCTCTGAGAGATGGAGGGTTTTACCCTGTGGATTGGGAGGGTGTGAGACAGTGCGGGTTGGCCCCACCAGCTGTTGCTCCGGGGCTGCAGGCTGAAGTTGAACCTCAGGGCAGAGCCGAGGCCCCAGAGTGGCTCTCGGCTTAAAGGATCTTGGCTTAAAAGGAATGTGCAGTGGGCTGCCTCTGCTCAGGAGGGGCTAAAAAAAGCCTGGCCTTCCCCTGGGCTTTGTGTGAGGGTTATCAGCTGCTCAAGTCAGCTCATCTCTCTGGCTGGACTCTGGCATTTTTGAGAGGCTCTGTTTCCCTGGCCCCTCTGGGTGTCCACCAGTTGACAGGAAGGGGTCAGCCTCCCTGTCCCCGAGGTGGAGGCCGTGGGGCATGTGAGGTGTGGGGGGAAGGGCCGGGGGAGGGGGCTGGTGGCCCCAAACCTGGTGACAATGCACAGTTGTCAGCTGTACCCTGCTGGTGTTTCTTCCTTTTATAGTCAGCAGCAGTTGCTCTCGCTCTCACCCAGCCCCTCTCTGGGGGCTCCTGCCCAGGATAAAAGGGGCAGGAGGCAGCCCAGGCTCCCATCTTATTTCCCCGGTGCTCCACGTCTCTCGATTCCTTTCTAGGTCCTACCTCCTCGGAAGAGCCCAATAGGACAACATGCCTCCCAAGAAGCCTGAGCCTAAGAAGGAGGTGGCCAAGCCAGCCACAGCCCCGGCCCCGTCTCCTGCCCCACCTCCTGAGCCCCTCAAGGAACCTGCCTTTGACCCCAAGAGCGTAAAGGTGAGTGAGCCTTAGCCACTGGGATGGGGGTGGGCTGACATTCAGAGTTCTCTTGGCCCTGGAGCTCAGAGATCTGCTTCATGGAGGTGGGACCGGGGTGAGGGCTGAGGTGTCCGCGCCCCCGATCCTAGTCCCAGGGGCGATGGAGAAGGTGCTGGGGAGCGCTCTTTTGGTTGGTAGGCTGTTCTTTTGCCTCAAGAACAGCTTTCTGCCCTGACTGAGGAAGGCCTGCTCTGTTATCCAACATTTGCTCAGTAAAGTCAGAAATGGCAGGAGGCGCAACCAACCAACCACCCAAACTATTTTTCAGGCACCATAGTGAAGCAAAAAGACTGTGTGATATCTTTAAGAGAAAAGACGCAGAATAATCTCTTCCGGTTTACTGCACAGTAGATGATGTCAGTAGCGAGGCAGCATGATCTCTGTGTGCTGGGGTCAGGGAAAGGCTTCACTTGCAAAGACCCTCGCAGTGGATGGGTGGTGGGGGGCAAGGAGACCCTAGGTAAGGTGAGAAGAGCCAGCTTGCCTCTCCTTTTCCCTACCCAGGTGAGCCCCTCCTGTGTGGGTTCTAGAATCATTCAGTGTTTCTCTTTCTCCCTCACTTGGAGCCCTCACTTCACAAGAGGTGTTGAGAGTTCTGGAGGTTGCGTTGTTTGACAGGCCATCAGTTATGGCCCAGCGGTTAGGGGGCTGGTGTGTGGCTCTCAGCCCATGTTGTCGCCTTTCCTTCTCATCTGCGCCCTTACCCTGAGCTCCTGCTTGGAGTAGGCAGTGGTCTGGCCCATCCCAGTCTGAGACCCTCTGTCTCAGCAGGTGTGGGGGCTGGGTCAGGCTTCCTTGGCTGCCCCAGCCCTGTTCCCTCTCTGCCCGCCCTGCTCGCCTCACGCCTCCAAGGAAGGCTCCTCTCCTTGGAGCTGGTGTAGACCCTGCCTGCTGATTCAGTCATTTTAGGCTTCTCAGTTATCTGGCCCAGCTGCTTAGGGGATGGAACTGGGAGGGGATGGGCCACAGAAGGAGGGGGTCAGAGCCCCCTGGAGACTGAAGCAGTTTTAAGCGTTGGCACCAGAATGTAAAAGGTCAAGTGGCTCCTGGTATGAAACGCTATTAATAACTGGTTGGGAATGGTGGGCCTTGGGGATCTCAGCCTCAGGGCAGAGCTGGGGGGTTGGTGAGGAATCAGATCAACATTACAGCTCAGGGCCTGTTTCTGTAACAAAGAGGCCAGGAAACTAGCCCCCAGAACTCTAACTGGATGACCCTTCTTGGCTCTGCCAGGGTTCTTCCTAGTGCCCACAGCCCTGGGGGACCTGCCACCGTGCCCAGAATTGTAGGGTTAACTTATGGTCATTCCAGCAAGGAAGGAGTTAAGCAGAACTGGCTTGGCCAAGAGATGGAGGCCGTTGCCTCACCCCTGGGCTTGGTTATGGGACACTCTGGGGAAACTGAGGCAAAGGAAAAGACTTTGAAAGTCCCTGAAGCTTTTCTAGGTCATATACCACTCCCTCTATGAGCAGAGCCTAGCAAGAAAAGCTGACTATCTCCCCCTTTAGGAAACCTGTATTTCTGATTAGTTCTGATAATGTACTGTTCCTGTGGGTCAACCTAGTCTGGACAAGAACTGCCTGCTGGTATCAATGGAGTGCCTTCTCTTTGGCCTATCACTTCACCCCCATCACCCACCTTCCCCAATTTCATACCTCTGGTTGCAATTGTCTTCTCCATGTCTGGGTCTTCCAGTTCTAGGAGTTGTTGAAGTTGCTTTAAAGTGGAAAAAAAATTAAGTATCTTTCTGAGGGTCATTTTCCCTCTTATACTTACCCAGTTCCTTTGCTTAGAAGGTTCTTTGCTCAAAGACAGAGCAAAAGTACAAATGAAAATAAACCAGACAAAGACAAACACTGCATGGTAGCACATGCCTGTGGAATTTAAATAAAAATGAAAAGTTAAACTGGAGAAACAGAGAGTAGAAAAGTTGTTGCCAGGGGCCAGTCTGAGGATCTAATGTAAAAATGGTGACGACGATCAGTAATACCGTATTGTATAATTGAAATTTGCTAACAGAGTAGGGGGCTTCCCAGGCGGCACAAGTGGTAAAGAACCTACCTGCCAACGCAGGGGACATGAGAGACCCTGGTTTGATCCCTGGGTTGGGAAGATCCTGGAGAAGGGAAAGGCAATCCACCCCGGTGTTCAAGCCTGGAAAATCTCATAGACAGAGGAGTTCATGGGATCACAAAGAGTCAGACATGACTGAAGTGACTTAGCACAGCACAATAGAACCTAAGTGCTCTCACAAAAATAAAATAGCAAATAAATAAATAAGGTGACACATGTATCAGTTAACACACGGGAGGAATCCTTTCACAATGTATTCATATATGAAACCATCACAATGTACACTTTCAAAATCTTACAATTTTGTCAATTATACCTCAATAAAGTAGAAAAAATTTTTTAAAAAGATAAAGTAAAAGTAAACTTCAGTTCAATGTGTGTGGTTATGACTATATATTCTGATGTTATGTTTTTATATTAATATCTCTTACATGTTTACTCCTGGGACTTAAAGCATTGCAAAGTAAGGCAAGTGGCACCATTCCTCAGAGGGTTCATTCAAGGCGTCTTTTGCCCTATTTAGGGGGTTTCTTTAGCTTTCTGGCCACCATCACCTACACCTCTGGCAAAGTCCATCCTGGGCATAGCCACTTCCTTTCCCAACACAGTGTAACCCCTCTCCTGCTCTCCTGACTCATTCTGGCCACCTTCAGGGGTGTTCATTAATGAGGTCAGCTTCGGATGGGCACAGAGCAGCAGAACCAGAACTAGGAAGAAGAAGAAGATGCTCCAGGATTGGTTTCCACCACCAGTGGAGAGCAGATTTGAGGGGGTGGTGGTGATGCTGGATAAAGACCATGAAGTAACACACGAGATGCTAAATTAAAATGATGACTCATGCTTGTTCATTGTCATTCATCTTCAGAGCTTTCCACCTTCTTCTTTTGTACTCAGATTTGAATTTAGGGGAAGAAAATCCAAAATTTACTCCTTCTTGCAACAAATAATTTTTGAGTACCTACTCTGTGTCAGGTTTTCTCTTTCAAATTCCCTGTTCTGTGGGGACCCTGGTTTTAAGGAGCCGCGGTACACACAAAGGCATGAGTGGAAAACAGGAAGCATTCAGGGCTCACCCACACTAAGCTCCCTGCCCCACGGTGCCTGGGAGGGATGTGTGCTGAAGGAGGGGCTGGAGTGGAAGGGGGTGNCATCACCATCATTTCATCACCATCACCAGTGCAAACCTGTATTTGAGTCAGGGTACACAAAAGCATGACTGGAAAAGTTATTCAAAATAGCAAGTATTAAAAAAAAACCAAAATAGCAAGTATAGGGGATTCCCTGGTAGCCTAATGGTTAGGCTTCTGGGCTTTCACTGTCAGGGTTCAATCCCTTCTCAGGGAACTGAGATCCTCAGTGTGGCCGAAAAAACAATCCAAAAAACACCGCCACCACAAACAAACAAACAAAAACAAATAGCAAGTATGGGTTTGCTCTTTGTTGACTGTTATTACTTAAGCACTGTACCTGAATTAATTTATTTCTCACCACAACCCTATGAGGTAGGGTAGGGACCGTCACCACCCCACTTTACAGGTGGTAAAACTGAGGCACAAAGAGGTTGGGTGGTCTACTCAGTCTCTCACAGATAGGTGGTGGTGGAGCCAGGATTCCAGCCAAGGCAATCCGATTCCAGGCTTGGATTCTGAACAGCTCTGCCAGACAGCCTGGAGCATAACAGATGCACAGCAAAAAAAAATTTTTTTCTGTTCTCTACTCTAAAATCTAAGATATTTAAAAGCCATCATTTCTGTTGCTGTTATTGAAAAGCCCTCCTTGGGCTACCAGCTCTCTCCCTCCTCATCATGAAGTCTGACAAGACGCTCAGCCCCCTAGCGGTGGCAGGGCCAACGGTGTCTTGGGGGTACCCTTGTCCACCTGTGGTCTCCATCAGCTCTTCTCTATCTTTGATGAAGGCAATTTATTTTCTCAATGTTATGTAGATATTATTAAGTGTAGCTTCTAGACAAGCCCCTCAGCCCTTCTTTTGTAGGATTCTGGTGTTTTGAGAATGAAATGTTTCATCTTGTGATATCTACTTTAGAGCCTCACCCTCACTGCAATTTATCCCTCTGTTTCCCTCATCAAATCACTCTTAAACAGGAAATCATACAAACTGGAAGGGACCTTGAAAGGTCACCCAATTAAACCCCTTAATTTTAAGCACAGGCTATATTTAAAAAATTAAACTAACACAAGCACATGATAAAAATTAGTATACTACTTAAAAATAAGTAATGAAAATAAAAATATTTTCCCCTTGCTTTCCTTTCATGCTGATCTGCTTTCCCCAAAACAATCATTGTTAACAGGTCTATGCATCCTTTGATAAAAATATATCATGTTACACCAGTATGTATGTGTAAAATTTACACAGATTGAGTCCTATGGTGCATACTGTCCTGCATCTTTCATTTAATATACATTTGGGTTCAACAATATTAACATAATAGTATATATTATTTAATTATCTATTTAAATATCTATTTTATATTGAACACAAAAACAGTTCTACCTCATTCTTTTAAACCATTGTATAGATTCTCACACATGGATGTACCTTTTAATCCAATTAGCTCATATTGCTAGACCTTCAGATTATCCCCAGCTGGGGGAAGAATCATCATGCTTTCCCCAGGAGGCTTTCCTAGCAATGAGTCAAAGGATATGTGCATTTTATTTTTTTTTTTATTTTTAAAAATTAATTAATTAGGCTGCCTCAGGTCTCTGGGGCTCGCAGAGTCTTTGCCATGCAGGATCTTAAGTGATAGCTCACAGACTCTCTAGTTGTAGAGAGTGGGCTTAGCTGCATATGGGATCTTGGGGCTTCCCAGGTGGCGCTAGTGGTAAAGAACCTGCCTGCCAATGCAAGAGACATAAGAGATGCTGGTTTGATCCCTGGGTTGGGAAGATTCCCCTGGAGAAGGAAATGGCAACTCTCTCCAGTATTCTTGCCTGGAGAATCCCGTGGACAGGGAGCCTGGTGGGCTGCAGTCCACGGGATCGCAGTCGGACACAACTGAGTGACTAAGCACATACATACGGGATCTTAGTTTCCTGACCAGGGATGGAGCCGTCTTCCTGCATTGCAAGGCAGATTCTAAACCACTGGCCCACCAGGGAGGTGTCAAGTCTACGTGCATTTAAAATTGTAATAGTTACTGTCAAGTTTCTGCTCCCAAAAAGCCAGTGACTCACAAAAAGGGCATGATGATGGCAGGTGTATTTTGAATCTAGTGAATTAAATCTGACTCCATTTTTGCATTATTCTGTTGACACCCACTTTCTGTCAATAGTCTGGAGTGCTGTGAAATTCTTAAAATTAATTTTAATTTTAATTAATTTTAATGCATTTTAGTTACATACATTGACTTCCCAGGTGACTCAGTGGTAAAGAATCTGCCTGCCAATGTAGGAGACTCGGGTTTGATCCCTGGGTCAGGAAGTTCCCCTGGAAATGGAAATGGCATCCCACTCCAGTATTCTTGCCTGGGAAATCTCATAAACAGAGGAGTCTGGCAGGCTACAGTTCATGGGGTTGCAAAAGAGTCAGAAATGGCTTAGCGACTAAACAATAATAACAAGTTAAATTTATACTCATTGTATATACAAACACAGTGGTACCCAGGAAGACTAGAAAATCAATGATAAAAAATTTTCATTTCCCAAGTGAGAATCCTGGTCAAAGCCAGCTGGGACAGCTGCCTGCCTCTTTTCTCCGTGAAGATTTTCAGGGCTGGGACTTAACTGATCCCAGGCTTTCATCCCTCTGACTTTGAAGGCATTGTTCCTTAGGTTGGATTTGAATTGTTTCGGTTTTGATTTTGTTCCCATCTCTTCCTTTGCTCCTTGGTGAACCTGAAGATGATTTTCTTCTGTTTTGCTGGAAAGAACATGATTTGGAACCAGGAGACTTGGCTATTAGCCCTAAATCTGCCACTGGTGTCCATGAGACTTAGTGCAAGTCACTTTTTTAAACCTAAATTCTCTCCTCTGCAAACTGAAGGTATTTGATTCTCTTCAATTCAGAAATTCTGTGATTCTTTTCAGCATTCTCTAGATAACCTCCATCTATTTGAGGATAGTCATCAAATCCTTTCTTAGCTTTGTAATCTCCAGGTGATACAGCCCCAATTTCTTTTATTTATTTATTTATTTCTTCTCATAGGAGCTAGTTTCTAAGTCCTGACTTCCTTCTCTGGTCCCTCTCCAGATTTCCATATCCCTTTGGAAAGGGATCATCAGCATTGCTCATTGCTCTAGCAGGCAGCTCACTACTACTATAGAACTTTGAGAAAAAGTTTCTTCAGAGACCAAGAGTATCATCTCTCATATTGCTTGAGATCACTGGGCTAGTTTTCCCCCTAGTTGCAATCCTAGATTTCAGTGTCAGGTTTTTATGTGTGCAGCAGCCTTCTCTGCAGGCAGGAACATTCACTGGGACAACAGGCCACTTCCTCCTCATCCTCTCTCCTCACTTGTTTTCCTTAATCGTTGGCTGAAGTCACATCTGCAGTGGCCTACAAATGAGGATAATAATACCTATAGTATAAAGTTTTTGTAAATATAGATGGGGTAATTCATGCAAAGTTATCAACTCAGAGGCTGGCCCACGATAAGTGCTCGAACCATAGGTCATCATTCTTATTATTTTCCTCTTGTTCAATCTTCCTGTTAAATATCATTCTTTTATGTGCAGATTGCGTCTTTAAGTTTGCCCTCACTCTTCTGAATGAATTAGAAGATCCAAAAGCCTGAGTGCAGATTCAACTACCATATTTATCGGACAATGAATTTGTGCCAGAAGTCATGTTAATAGCTATACATGTTAAGAATTAAATTCTTCTAACAAAGCTGTGAGGTCGGTGCTATTCCTTTTGACAGAGGAGGAACCAAGGTTCAGTGAGGTTATGTGGCTTGGCTAAGATCACACAGTTAAGTGTTAAAATTAGGATTGAAGTCAGTGAGAGATTACTAACAGTGTTGTTGGGGAACTGACAGAGTTAAGATTTTTTACACGCGCTATTGTATTTTATTCGAATGTAATTTAAGGATCCTATGAGGCAGGTGCCATTTATAAAAGAAGAGGTTTATAGAGGTTAAATATTTACTTGCCCGAGGTCACATAGCAAGTAAGCAACGGAAATGGAATTTGAGCTCAATTATTTAGTAATTTGAAAGACATGCGGTTTTATCTCTTTGCAATTCATACAAAGTCTAATAAAGAGCTGCATGTAAACGTCTTGGGGAACCTGTTTTGATATGTGGAATGATTTGTAAATAATCCATATGCCGCCTCTGAGAAAGTAAGTCTAAAGAAAGTACAGAGGATTAAAAACAGCTTTTCTCCTAAGTAGTCCACACATTCTTCTTAGGTTTATATTGTTAATCCACTTTGTAAACCGCTTCTTCATGGGTAGCACAAGGGTACTTCAATGCCATACCCAGTCCAAATTATCCCCGGTAATGAGCCGGTTGAACCCAAATTGATGAGGAATTAAGGTTGTTTGCAAAGGGCCCAGGAGTGCCTTCATTCAGCCTGGTGCCTTGGGCTCCTGCACTAGTATCTTCTGCGAATCTGGCTTCAGAACTAGTAATATAATAATAACCGCTTGCCTTCTTCCCTGGTGGCGCTGGTGGTAAAGAATCCACCTGCCAATGCAGGAAATGCAGGAGACGTGGGCTTGATCCTTGGATTGGGAAGATCCCCCAGAGAAGGGCATGGCAACCCACTCCAGTATTCTTGACTGGGAAATCCCATAGACAGAGGAGACTGATGGCCGACAGTCCATGCGGTTGCAATGGCATCCCACTCCAGTATTCTTGCCTGGGAAATCTCATAAACAGAGGAGTCTGGCAGGCTACAGTTCATGGGGTTGCAAAAGAGTCAGAAATGCCTTAGCGACTAAACAATAATAACAAGTTAAATTTATACTCATTGTATATACAAACACAGTGGTACCCAGGAAGACTAGAAAATCAATGATAAAAAATTTTCATTTCCCAAGTGAGAATCCTGGTCAAAGCCAGCTGGGACAGCTGCCTGCCTCTTTTCTCCGTGAAGATTTTCAGGGCTGGGACTTAACTAATCCCAGGCTTTCATCCCTCTGACTTTGAAGGCATTGTTCCTTAGGTTGGATTTGAATTGTTTCGGTTTTGATTTTGTTCCCATCTCTTCCTTTGCTCCTTGGTGAACCTGAAGATGATTTTCTTCTGTTTTGCTGGAAAGAACATGATTTGGAACCAGGAGACTTGGCTATTAGCCTTAAATCTGCCGCTGGTGTCCATGAGACTTAGTGCAAGTCACTTTTTTAAACTTGAATTCTCTCTTCTGCAAACTGAAGGTATTCGATTCTCTTCAATTCAGAAATTCTGTGATTCTTTTCAGCATTCTCTAGATAACCTCCATCTATTTGAGGATAGTCATCAAATCCTTTCTTAGCTTTGTAATCTCCAGGTGATACAGCCCCAATTTCTTTTATTTATTTATTTATTTCTTCTCATAGGAGCTAGTTTCTAAGTCCTGACTTCCTTCTCTGGTCCCTCTCCAGATTTCCATATCCCTTTGGAAAGGGATCATCAGCATTGCTCATTGCTCTAGCAGGCAGCTCACTACTACTATAGAACTTTGAGAAAAAGTTTCTTCAGAGACCAAGAGTATCATCTCTCATATTGCTTGAGATCACTGGGCTAGTTTTCCCCCTAGTTGCAATCCTAGATTTCAGTGTCAGGTTTTTATGTGTGCAGTAGCCTTCTCTGCAGGCAGGAACATTCACTGGGACAACAGGCCACTTCCTCCTCATCCTCTCTCCTCACTTGTTTTCCTTAATCGTTGGCTGAAGTCACATCTGCAGTGGCCTACAAATGAGGATAATAATACCTATAGTATAAAGTTTTTGTAAATATAGATGGGGTAATTCATGCAAAGTTATCAACTCAGAGGCTGGCCCACGATAAGTGCTCGAACCATAGGTCATCATTCTTATTATTTTCCTCTTGTTCAATCTTCCTGTTAAATATCATTCTTTTATGTGCAGATTGCATCTTTAAGTTTGCCCTCACTCTTCTGAATGAATTAGAAGATCCAAAAGCCTGAGTGCAGATTCAACTACCATATTTATCGGACAATGAATTTGTGCCAGAAGTCATGTTAATAGCTATANGCCCGAGGCCACCTAGGGGTCAGTGGCAGAGCTGGGGTGGGTTGACTGTCCACCCTTGTCGCCTTGTCCAGCCTGAGAGCTCGCTTTCAGCCTGGGACAGGCCGCACTGTTATTGGCTGACTTCTGAACGGGTCTTATCACTTTGCAGAGTGTCTTCACACACTGCCCCCTCCTTTGGCACTCAACTGGGAGGGTCAGGTGAGGACTGACTCTTGGTGTGTTTGCTTAAGGAGACTGAGACCCAGCCCAGCTTATTCTACCTTGATTGGCAGAGCCAGGAGGAGAACCCAGGAGTCCTGACTCCTGAGTCAGTGCTTTTGACTTCCCTGGAAAGATGAGTGGATGGGAAGGGCAGAGGCAGGGGAGACGTCAAATGATGTGACAGGTGGTTGCTGGAACAGGTCGTGGGGGCTCCAGGATACTTCTTTAGTTGTCAGAAGATGGGGTGGGCATGGGTTCCAGGGAGGGGGTGGCATGCTGGCTGTAGGGAAATATTTTATCAACTCTATTGACCTGCTCTTCAACGAGGGTAGAAGCTGATCAGCCCCTAGTTACTGCCTTCGCTTGGCCCCAGGGGGCTGCAGTCAGTCTTTTCTCTGCAGAGTTCAAAGAGGCCTTTTCGTTGTTTGACCGGACCCCGACTGGAGAGCTGAAGATCACCTATGGGCAGTGTGGGGACGTGCTGCGAGCCCTGGGCCAGAACCCCACCAACGCCGAGGTGCTGCGTGTCCTGGGCAAGCCCAAGCCAGAAGGTCAGCCTCCCCTCCCTACCCCTGGGGCTCTCTCCTTTCAAGGCCAACCTGCTCTCCCCAGGTACCCTGCCTCCCATTGCTAGAATTACCCGGAAACATCTGGCACTTGGTCAGTCCTCAAAAGAATGTGACCTGGGCTTGTTCTCATTTTCTCCGTGAGCGTGGAAACTCCTGGGGAGCAGGCGCGACTTTCTACCGCTTCATTGTCTTCCTCTGATGCACAGGGTGCCTGGGACATGGGGCAGAGGGGCTGGCAGGAAAACTGGGAACTGACCATCGCCCCCACCTCCTCCAGAAATTGTGGGTGAGGGGTTACAGCACAGCGATGTCCTGTGACCACCCTGAGTTGTATCACGGATAATGTGTTTCTGATAATACAGCACTGAGATTGCAAATTATTCGTTTAATGTAAATTAGAGCAGATGCAGGCTCAGCTCTATAATGATGCCTGTTTCACTGGTTTGCATTAGATAGGTTTTGGTGAATGGGGGTTTAGAAAGTGGTGCAAGGGGTCCCATTTGTGAATGTCATCTGTCACTGTGGCAGTCAGGCTAACAGCTGCCCTAACACATGAGTCCTTCTGAGGGGCTAGGGCTGGGCAGACCTGGGCAGGAGCCCTTAGCCAGGGTGGATCATTTCTAGAGATTTCCTGGGCCCAAATTGGGGCCTTCCTGCCCTCTTCCTTGGTTCTGGGTCCTTCCCCTCCTATTCTTGCTGGAGAAAACACCAACAATGGTGAAGGATGTGGCTCAGAACGGACCAGAGGACCAGGAGCCTGCCTGTGTCAGTAGGGATTCTCAGAGGGCAAAAGATATTTGGGTCTTTCCATTGTGAGCGGTTTCTGGGTTATAAAGGAAAGCAATGCCAGCCTTGGGATACTTAAAAATGGTTTTACCTACTCCTGGGGCTTCGTGCCCTCCAGGATTCCAGACTGGGGGCCCCACCCAGAAGTGATGGCAGCTGAGCTCTGGGCTAGCCTGGCAGAGCCTGATGACACCTCTCCCGAGCCTCTGCTCCCCACGAGCTCATGTCGAATTCCTTTCCTTGCTGGTCCCACTGGAAGAGATGAATTCCAAGATGCTGGACTTTGAGACCTTCCTGCCCATCCTGCAGCACATCTCCCGAAACAAGGAGCAGGGCACCTACGAGGACTTCGTGGAGGGGCTGCGCGTGTTTGACAAGGAGAGCAACGGCACGGTCATGGGCGCCGAGCTTCGCCACGTCCTTGCTACCCTGGGTACGTATGCCAGCCAGGCAGGGGCGGAGCCCAAGGGAGAGGAACAGAGGATGAGAAGCGTCTGAGCAGCGTATGTTGGGGAGACGTGGGGCTCCCTGTGTCCTGAGTCTCACGTTCTGGTCCAAGCCCGTATTCCTGGGTTCTGTAGGTACCATTGTCCCCAGCTGGGTTTGCTCAGCAGGGTTGGAAGGAGACGAGAGCAGGCTGGGAGAGCAGGGGTGAGGCCTGAGAGGTGGGATCCAGGGCCCCTGTCCTTGTCTTTGCCTCTGTTGCTAGGGCCTTGGTCTGCTTACGCACTGATGGCTGTAGGCAGAGGGAGAGACCTTGGGGGCTAGGAAGGGTCTAAAGACCTTGACTCCACCTTCCAAAGCCTTGGGGAAGATTTTGTTTGACCACTTCCTTGATCCAGGAAGTCCTGGGCCATCAGACTCAACGGGGTGCTTGGGTTTGGCCAGTTGTCCTTTGCCCATCTGTCATTAAGTGCCCACTGTCTCCCACCCTAGGAGAAAAGATGAGTGAGGCTGAAGTGGAGCAGCTGTTGGCAGGTCAGGAGGATGCCAATGGCTGCATCAACTACGAAGGTATCAGCTCATTCTGCACTTCCTTGGGCAGCCAGGGATGCGGTGGGGTGGGGTGGGGTGGGTACAGTTCAGGCCAGGAGGGGCTGCAGAACAGAACAGAAGCAGGAGCTAGAGGATATGTGTACCCCATGGTCTTTGGTGAGCTCCCAGTTGATATTGTTCTTTTCCCTCCTGGGAGTGAACATCACTGCGTAATGGAAGGAGCATGGATTTTGGAGATAGCTCTGTGATATACCAGCTGGGTGATCTTAAGCAAGTTGATTACCTTCTCTTAACATTGGTTTTCTCATCTGAACAACGGGGTGATGCTGGACCCTTTCCCAGGATTGCAGGGATTGGCAGAGATAACGTAGCTCATTTCATCCATGTCTGGTATCAGCACAGAGAGTGTACACAGAGCAGTGATTAGTTCCCTTCCTTTCTTCCACCTTCTCCCCATCAACCCCAAACAGGAAAAGGAATCATAATGAAGAAAGGGTGGTGGGAAGGTTTGCAGTCAGGTGATATAGACCAGGGAGGAGGGGTTTAAGCGGTTGAGAGGGGCCAGGTGATGTGGCTGTTTTCTGTCTTCTTTCCCAGCCTTTGTCAAGCACATCATGTCTGGGTGAAGCAGATCCCTCCAGGGTGAGTGCAGCACACCCCCCCAGGGGAGGGGGGCCCACAGCCACACCACGTGCCCTAGAGCCCTTCTCTTCTGGTTTGACCCCCTTCGAGGACACTGCAGGAGACCAGAGCAGTCCGGCCCCACCCATCACCCCTGCGTTCTTAGTGCTTCTGTCACCTCCCCTTCATCCCTTCCTGCCCTGCCCCCAGCCTCCTTGGTCTTTGCACCCAATCTTGACCCACCAGTCACATCCTCCTGCCTTTTCCGGGATCTCTCAAGGCCAGATGAATCGCTCAGGTGGGGCTTCCTCTGCAGGCTTCTGGCTGTGAGGAGCCAGGTTGCAGGTGAAAGAGAACATCCCGGGCCTATGCCCTTGGCCCTGTTCCTCTTCACCCTCTTCCCTGAGCCCCTCCGGCCTTGGTGCTGGCTGGTGGGGGTGGGGCCATCATCAGGAGCTGGAGTGTGGAGGGGGAGGTAGAACCCTTTCCATCTCACGCTCTCTTTCAGGTGCCTGGCCCGGGGCCTTAGCCCAGGTGAGTTACCAAGAGGCCCAGAGTGACTGAGCCGGAGCTGGAGTCCTGGACTTTCCCCTGCATGGCAGCCCTGGGGACTCCAAGGGCCCACAGTCCTTGCCATAAATAAACAGCTTCAGCAAGGCCGGGCCGAGGTCCCAACCAGCCTCTGAGTTGTTTATTAAAGCCAATTAATTCGTTGAGTTGGGTTTTTGTGAGTGTGTGTGATAATTGTCACCTGAGGCCTCTTGCATATTCCTCAGAAGAATAAGCAGTATCTTGGAGCTGGGGAACATGGGCCAGGGCTCAGGGAGCTAGAAACAGGAGGGTCAGATCGTGAGCACAGAGTTTTGGAAGGGTCTGCAGTCTGAGGAGCTGTGATCAGGAGGAGCTTCATTTCCTTCCTAAGCTCAATCTCTACCTTAGGTCTGTCCAGGTGACAAGCAGAAAGAGGGCCACCAGGAGCCCGGGGGATACCAAGGGATCCTCAAATGGTCCTTGCTCCCTCCTCTTTAAAAAAAATTGTGGTAAAACTCACATAACATATGGGACTTCCCGAGTGGCTCAGATGGTAAAGAATCTGCCTGCAATAGAGGAGACCCAGATTCAATCCCTGAGTTGGGAAGATCCCCTGGAGAGGGAAATGGCAACCGACTCCAGTATTCTTGCAGCACATAATATAAAAATTTTCATCTTAACAATTTTTAAGTTTTCAGTTCCGTAGTATTGTGTGTTCACATTGTGTGAACTTGTGTAGCAAGTCTCCAGAACTTTTTCATCTTATAAAATTGAAACTCTATATCCATTAAACAATAAATCCCCATTTCCCCCTTTCTCCAATCCCTGACAACCACCATTCAACTTCCTGTATCTATGAATTTGACTACTCTAGATAGTTCATATGAGCGGAGTCATAGTGTATTTGTCTTTTTGTGACTGGTTTATTTCACTTCGCGTACTGTCTTCAAGCTTAATTTGTGTTGCAGTAAGTGTCAGAATTCCCTTCTTTTTTAAGGAGGAATAGTGTTCCGCTGTATGTGCGCAGGTAGCACATTTTGTTTATGGTTCTTGTAACTTTTTTTTTATCACGCCACATGGCATGTGGGATCCTGGTTCCCTGCCTGGGGATCGAACTTGCACCTGCCCCCTGCATTGGAAACTCAGAGTCTTAACCATTGGACCACCAGGGAAGTCCCAGTCCTTATATCTTCATATGGGCCCTTTAGGTGTCTCTGCCCCTGAGAGCAAGGCCCCTGATGCCTGATTCAGCCCTGCTTGTTCTGGGCATCTCACTGACTCCCTGGCCACACCCAGGACTCCATACAGGACTCTGCATCAGGGCTTCAGAGGGAGCACAGACCTCAGGCCGGGCAGGCAGGGGTGTGGCGGGAGGCAACTGGGAAGAGGAGAGACGAGAAACCAGAGATTGAGCAGAAGGGGACAGACCAGGTCATGAAACTAAAGACACGCATATGAGCAGGACCCCTCTGGATGGGGGTCCCCACATCCCTGAGAGCCCCCCAAGGTGGATTAGAACCTCCTTCTTACAGCCTTTCTGCTGCCCTCTCAAGGCATCCAACTGCAGAACTTTGTGAAACATCCTTTATAGATCCAGCCAAGGCTGAGATTCCATGAGCCCAAAAGGGAAGTTGTCATGGGAAGCTGAGAACCATGAGCCCAAACTCAGCCTTCTCAGAATTTAAAGTCTGGTTGGGAAGATGAGACCAAGGCCCATGTATACCTTTTCTTCTGTGAGGAAGGGGCTCCAGTGATGGGAGAGACCTGTTGAATCATAAAACTTGAGATCTTTATGTAGTTGTGATAGGGGTCATTGACTCCAGTGGTTTTCAAACGTGGTTGTAGCTCTATAGCCTTTTAAAAAATTGTTTATTTATTTGGCTGTGCTGGGTCGTGGTTGTGGCTATTACCATTTGTGGGCTCTTAGCTGCAGCATACAGGATCTAGTTCTCAGACCAGGGATTGAACCCAGGCCCCCTACTCTGGGAGCAGAGTCTTAAACCACTGAACCACCAGGGAAGTCTTGGCTGCATAGCCTTTTACTCAAACTAAATTCTGTGTAGAAGCCAGTGCATGAACTGAAGGGAGCAGGGATTCTCCAGCTGAGGAGTGAGGGATGGATGCCTGTATCTTGAGCCGCTGCCTGGGCTCCTTAGAGCACAACCAGAAGACCACTGACTGAGTCAGACCAGCTAATTATAAAAGTAAGGAAATGGCTCCTTAGGGGAGACTTGACTCACCCAAGGTCACGGCTAATGACCCATGAACCCAGGTCCCCAGAATCCCACATTTTCCCATTTTTCGACACACATCAATCTGCCTTTGAAATTTTTTTCAAGTTAGGCTCTTGGGAGCTTCTCTCGTATTATCCCTACCATTCTGCTTGATCATTTTTGGCCTTACTTATTTCTCCTTTTAATTTTTGTTTATTTTATTGCCAGATAATTTCAGATTCCCAACCAGGGATTGAACCTGGGCCATGGGAGTGAGAGCCTGGAATCCTAGCCTCTAGACCACCAGGGAACACCCCATTATTTCTCCTTTTCAATTAATGAAGATTTTTATGTGGACCATTTTTAAAGTCTTTATTGAATTTGTTACAATACTGCTTCTGTTTTGTTTTGGCTTTTTGGCCATGAGACATCTGGGATTTTAGCTCCCGAACCAGGGATCAAACCCACACGCCCTGCATTGGAAGGTGAAGTCTTAACCACTGGACTGCCAGGGAAGTTCCTGTTTCTCCTTTTGAAGAGTCACCCTCCCCAACTTGAAATAGACATGAAACAGTGTGATCATGTGACAGATAACAGCCAACACTTACTGAATGCAATATCAGTTATGATTATCTTTGGCTGTGGGTTAGGGAGACTGAAAGACTGGCTTAAAAGACACAAAAGTACGTTTTCACCTCCCACTGAAGTCCGGGGGTTGGCTGTCCAGAGCTGGTATGGCAGCCGTTCTGCACAAAGTTCTCGGACCCAGACTCCTTTTATCTTGTGGCATTGCTGTGTGACCCCTACTCACAGTCCTGATGGCTGCTCTGGATCAGCCACCTCGGCTCCTGAGGGGGTAGTTCTGGAAGCATTTCCTACTTGGTGAATCCTCAGGAACTGGTATGGCCTGCCGGGCTCGTTATGGTATTCAACTTACGCCTTTGAAGACACAAGAACCCTTGGGCTGCTAGTCACCGTTCCCCCGGCCTAGCCTCCTCCTCAGCTTCCCTGGTGGCGGAGATGGTAAAGGATCCACCTGCAATGCAGGAGACCCAGGTTCAACCCCTGCATTGGGAAGACCCTTGGTGAAAGGAACGGCAATCCACTCCACTATTCTCGCCTGGAGAATCTCATGGGAGAGCCGAGCAGGCTACAGTCCATAGGTTCGCATGACTCAGCACACACACACAACCTCCTTCTGGCCGGCCCATCAGTAAGGCTCAGCACTCGTCCCTTCTGGGAAGAGGTATGGGGAAAACTGACCCATCTGCGAGATTTTCTTTGAATGGACTGACTTCCAGTACTTCAAACCAGGACTCAGACCATGTCTTGGTCTGCTTGGGTTGCTAGGACAAAACACCATAGACTGGGTGGCTTCAGTAACAGACATTGATTTCTCACAGAGTTGGAGGCTTGGAGCCTGAGATCAAAGTGCAAGCATGATTGGATTCTGGTAAGGCCTCTTTCCGGCTTCCAGGTGGCTAATTTCCTGCTGAATCCTAACAGAGAAAAAAGGGGAGAGAGAAAGAGAGCAAGAAAGAAAGAGACAGAGACAGACTAATCCCATTATGAGGGCTCCACTCTCAGGACTTCACCAAAACATAATTACCAAGGGCTTTGCCTCCAAATACCATCACACTGGAGACCAGGGGCTTTACCATATGAATTTCGGGGGACACAATTCAGTCCCACAGCGGACCATGTAACTTACAGGAACAGGACTGCGCCCCCTGCGGTTCCTTCTCTCGCCCTGCAGGCTGGCTGACTAGGCTTGAGAGGGTGGCACCGCAGGAGGCTGAGTAAGGGTGGGAGGAGGAAGGAAGGGGTGTCCCAGCTCTTGGGTGGACTGAAGGAAGGCTCCAGCCTGGAGCTAGACATGGCATCATCCTGACAGGGTGAGGGCAAGTGAAGGACATGGGAAAATCGCTTTTGTGGGGCACCGAGGATGACCAGATGTACCCATAGGCTGGGCATCGTGCCTCCCAGAGATTGGTACAGGAAACACGGCCTGCAGTGCAACTACCTTCCCACCCTAAACCCTGCACACAGATGCTGAGGAGAAAGTTTCATGCTTCAGTTCAGAGAGGATGGGGAGTTTCCTTTAAAGTTCCCGTTGCCGGAGGGAATGAGCCAAGGCAAGCGTAGGGAGGAGCCGTAATGCTCTCTTCACTCAGCGGCTTTCCTCTGCGGCGTTTCTTAATGAAGTGCCATTAGGTGTTTGGCTGGTGGCGCAATACCCATATCACACCACTAGATGGCATAATTGCAGCAGCCACGCTTCCAAAGGACCCCCGGGAATGAGAATTACAGGAAAACTGATTCCCACCCTGGGCTGGAAGGAATCCTTAGAAATCACTTGGTCCATCTCTATGCTTTCAGAAAAATGGAGGTTTTATTCATTTTCAAAGACTCACAACTATTAGTGAGCTTCCTTCAGGACCCCCTCAAAGGTTTTGCAGTGAAGGGGCAGAGAGAGGACTGTTTTGGACACGTGGAAACCTGGCATCTAGACCAGTTTGGCTCCTGAGATACACACACACTCAGCTTCTGATCCACAGGTTGCAAAATAAGGAAGTCGATTAGATCATCTTTAATGTCCTTTCCAGCTCTCTGATTCAGATCATTTGGAATGCACCCAATTACTTCCTAAACTCAACTTTAGTCCAACTCTAGATCAACTCTAGTCTTGTTTTATTTTCACCCTCACTGTGTATATGTGTTTAGAACCTTAAGTGGCAGAAAGCATTCATTCAAAATAACTGCAGAATACACAGCTGCAGGTGCTTTGGAAGTCACCTTCCAAAAAGGTGGTTCCAAAAGCAAAGTCACTCATAGTCTTTCACTCCATGAGTTTGTACCCTACTGAAGTAAGAATGATCTACAGGTGAAAAGTTATAAGACAAAAATAGAAGAAAGGACACCAGGCAGTGTATATCTAAAGACTGAGGGAGAGGTATGGTATCATAGCA